CCAAGAGAAATACTTTCACTCAGTTTGTCTGGCCAACAAAAAGAGTGAAGAAAGATGTGTTTGTTTGTTTGTTTTTCTTTTCCTCTCTCTCTCTCTCTCTCTCTCTCTCTCTCTCTCTCTCTCTCTCTCTCTCTCTCTCTCAAGAACAGCCCAAAGTTAGCAGGAATACTAAAGTTGGAAGGAACCTTGGAGGTCATCTAATCCAACCCCCTGCTTTCTCAGGCTGTGTTGCTTTAAGGGTGAGAGAGAGACAGAAAGGAAAAGGGGGGGCGTTGATCTTTTTAACTATTTTTTTTCTGTTTAGAATTCTGGTTTGAGGAAGGAGGGGTGGATGAGAATGTTTTAACCTACTTAATGGAAATTTGTTTCCATCTGAATGGAATCTGATTAAATTAGAATTTGACTAAATTTATATTAAAAGCAAAGAGTTGATACTAGAGTTTGATACAAAACTATTTCAGTAACTCAGATTTTTGTGTGTGTGGAGTTGGTTTTTGTTATTGTTTTATTTTGTTTTATGTTTTTATGTCTATGTGCAGGACACACTGATAGAAAAAAAAAAACCTAAGAAGGAATTGGAATTCAACCCTTGTTTAAAACAAAGGAGTTGAGAAAACTTTTGGGATTATAAATGAGCTATGTTGTTTTGAATAAAGATTAGTGTGCAAACAAACTCAAGCAGAGTTTTTGGTAAAGCGCTCCTTTGTTTGCTCTTTACTAACCAATTTGTAAATACAGACAAAGCCATGGCTAGGAGAAGGGGGGTTTACACAGAAGTGGGGGAAAAGAGAGATGAATGAATGAAATGGGAAGTAGAGGGCAGGGAGGCACTATTTATAGATGGCTCCTCCTGGGTAGAAAATGGGTCAAAATGGACACACCAAAGAGTTGGTAGAATCCGGCAGCCTGCCAAAGAACTGGTCAGCCCAAACTTGCGAACTGTATGCATTAAATCAGGCCCTAAAATTGTTAGAAAACAAGACTGAAACTGTTTGTATGGATTCAAAGTACGCCTTTGGGGTGGTCCATACCTTTGGAAAAATTTGGGTGGAAAGAGGAATGATTAACAGCAAAGGAAAGGAATTGACCAAAATAATTGCCATAACCCATGTGAATGCACATCAGAGAGGCAATTCTTTTGAAAGTGTGGGAAATAGGATTGTGGATGAGGAAGTCAAGAGGGCAGCAAATGAAGAAAGCATAAATGTCTTAATACCCATTGTAGAAACACTAGAAGAGATCCCTGTGTTTTCAGAAACAGAAGAAAAGAAATAATGCAGATAGGTGGGCAACAAGGAGAGAAGGGTAAATGGTTTCTCCCGGATGGGAGGCAGGTAATCAATAAACCCATAGTGCGAGGATTATTGGAGAAGTTACATGAAGGAAGCCACTGGGGGGGGGGGTGTTCAGGCATTGGTGGATGAGCTCCTGAAGCATTATGGATGTATCGGAATTTATACAGCAGCAAGACAAATGTTGGATAAATGCTTGATATGTAAAAAGGTAAATAGGCAAGCAATCAGGAAACAAAAAGGGGGAGGGAAGCCTCCAGTCCTTAGGCCATTTCAGTGCATTCAGGTAGATTTTACTACCCATGTAGTACCCTTGTAGTAATGCAACAACTAATATGGTTTCTAGAATACTATTGGAAGTAATATGTGCATAAACTGTCCAGATATTTTGATTTTCTCAGGAAACAAGGATTGCTGGCACAAACACTTCCCTTGGAGTTTCCAGTCCACAGATTCCAGATAGGAGATTGGGTGCTGATCTGGAGTTGGAAGGAGGAGAAGCTGGTTCCAAAGTGGGAAGGCCTTTCCAGGTGCTGCTGAAATCCGAAACAGCAGTATGAACAGCAGGGAAAGGCTGGACCCACTACACCCGTGTGAAAGGACCAGTGGACGCTCCAACCAAGTGGAAAAGTGTGCTTCAACCTGACCCTTTGAAGTTGATAATAAGAAAAAGCAAAATATAGAGACATTAGAAAAAGGGGGGGTGTAAATGTGTTGGTTTTGTGACTGTAAATGTTGGTGTAATTGTTGTTGTTGTACCCATTGCCCAGACTGCGCACCAATACACAGAGACTGCGGAGAAGAGTGTGATATAGTAATCATCGAAGACTGGTGTCCCGAGTACCAATCTCAGCCCGTTACAGGCGGTGGTGTCAAAAGTGAAAGGGAAGAAATACTTTTCCAGGGGTGGACAGAATTGGGACAATGTTAGACCTCAATATGACCTTGATTACAGGAGTAATTAAGATATGGATTATAGTGGGAGTAGTAGGGTCCGGGAACATATGCAAAGGTCAAAGTATAAATACCTCTGATAACTGTAATGATTGCATTAGAACCACCAAAATGGGTAATAAGATAACCAAAACTTTGACATATCATACTCAGATGGACTGCAAGAAGGTGGTGGGAACATGTGTTCATAATACCACTCGATTTTCCCTGTGTAATGAAACAGGAAGGGTTACATGCGTTGACCCCTCTAGTGTGAAAAAAACCCCCAACCATTCATATATTTACCTCTCAAAGTGGAAAGAATCTAACATCATTATTATTAGGACAGAACACCAGTACCTCTGCTAATCACAAGAGTAGAATCTGCTTTGATACCTGCTATGCCATGAAGTTTAGTCCCTGGATCACCTGTGGGGGCCTGAGTTGGCAGCGGAGTTACCTTACATATTGGTACTCTGATGGCAGGAGCCCACCTAGGGTGTGGACTGAGAAGGATAATGGTCACCTGAACATATAATATAGGTGTAGGGACTTGTCACTTGGGCTGAAGATGGATCATGGGGATATAGGACTCCAATTTATATGCTGAATCGCATTATTAGGTTACAAGCGGTTCTGGAGATTATCACTAGTGAGACAGCGCTAGCATTAAATAAGTTGGCTAAACAAACTACCCAAATGAGAACTACAATTTATCAAAATAGGTTAGCCTTGGATTATTTATTGGCAGAAGAAGGAGGGGTCTGAGGAAAATTTAATTTAACCAACTGTTGTCTGCAAATAGACAATGAAGGGAAAGCCATAGAGGAAATAAATTAAAAAAAAAAACAGGATGAGGAAAATAGCCCATGTACCGGTCCAAACCTGGACTGGAATACTTGATGATGAGGGGTTCTTGGGAGGAATTTTTAGAAACTGGAAACAAGCTTTATTCATGTTAGCAGTTGTATTTTTCGTGTTAATGTTCTTACTCTATTTGATCCCTATAATAAGAAGTATTGTACAAAACACAATGGAGGGAATGGTAAATGCAACCAATAAGAGTGACGAACAAATGCTGATGTTAAACAAGGTGACTGGACATGCTGCACTACTTCACTTCCAGAATGCAGAGGAGATCCGGGAAAGTTTATAACCATTTGAGGAAAAAATTTATTTTTAAATTAGTATAAAAAATGGAAAGGGTGGATTTGTGACAAAGGAAGAAGTTTAAAAATAAAACGGTCACAATTGATTAACAATAGAAGGATTAGCCAAGCCCTGCACGTAGGCACTAGATTTCAGGAGGCTTGGCTAGAAGACACTTAACAAGACAAAAGGATGGCAGAGAGAAGTTCTAAACAATGTAACTGAGGGGGAGGGAGGGATGATGTATTCTGGCTAGGCCAGTGGTAGGCAACCTTGGCTCTTTTATGACTCGTGGACTTCACCTCCCAGGATTCCTGAACCAGCATGCTGGCTCAGGAATTCTGGGAGTTGAAGTCCACGAGTCATAAAAGAGCCAAGGTTGCCTACCCTGGGCTAGGCGGATCGGACAGATTGTGCCCCCGGAAGTCCTCTCAAATTGAACCTAAGGGGAGGGGATGGGGGCGTCGTGATAGGAGTGTATATAATGTTGTGAGTTTGAATATTTTGGTGTGGTCTCTGGGTTTAGAACTTCCTGCTGAAGTCTCTCACCAGGATCCACCGCTCTTTGCAAACCGCTTTTCTATTTTCTGCAGAATAAATTCTTTTTCTTACCAATCCAATTTTGTTGGTATTTTAATCACGTTTCCAACAACCTCCCCTAATCTGCTTTGATTTGGACTCTCAAGATCTGCAGAAACACAAGTCACTTTAAACGCCACCAATTTAAACAAAAGAATCCCATTCAGTTCCCTAGCATGTAGCATGAGCAGAAAGAGAAAAGAAAAAAAAAAGCCTTCCTGCCCAAATAGGTCATTTTCTTACTCTTTCCACTTCTTAGGAACAGGAGAGCTTCCTATATTGTCCCGCCTTCATTCCATTTCCCCCCACCACCAATGAAATTTAAAACCAAACAAAACACCAGTAAATGCAATCCCACGGCAACTAAACGTGTGTGCCTGAATAAAGAGTACTGCCCATTAGGGTGCAGGTAAGGAAGGCGAGCAGGACAACCGGATCCCTGGCTAGGCGCACGTCGCAGTGTTGTTACCGGAACGGAACCTCGTGAAACCAAATAGTCCCCTCAGCAGCGCAAGAAACGGGAGGCCTCATTAAGCCTCCCCGCCCCTTTCACTTCAGTGGAGAATGTGCACGAGGGCAGTTATTTTGTTGCGATCACCCAAAATGAGAAGTTAAAACTTCTTGGAAGTGATAGAGAGGATGATCCCAGCATAGTCTACCTCCTACTCACGGAAAACACCCGACAGGGCTATAGCAGTTACCCCAGTCGCCCTTCTCCCCCTTTCCAGGACAGGGCAGGTCAGAGAGCCCCTTCCGACCCTAGACGAAACAAACGAGCACGGGCAAGAAGGCCCCGCCCACTCTCTCATTTATTCTTTCTCAATCAATTTATTCTGAAGGAAGCAAAGCCAAACTACACGAGCTGGGGTCCAAAAGCCAGGGGGCATCGCTCTCCAAATCAGGCTTGCGAAAGGCTTTATCGCGCCTTCAGCCTCTGGGGAAAGGAGGAAACAGCCCCGCTAGCTAAAAGGAAATGAGATCAGCTCCCAAGTCATTGCAGAGCTGGGCTCAGCGATATAGACAGTCCGGTGCCGTAGCTCCAGCTTCCTCTTTCCACAGACGGCTATGGGGTGTCGGACTGTGCTGCTATATATCTGCCTGGCGTTGCAGTTGATGGGCGAACAGGCGCAGGCGAGTAAGGACCGTAGAGAAGAGGCTGGAAGCGCGGATCTCCTGAGCCACCGGCAGTACGAGCATTTGCAGAAGCAGCTTGGGGCCGTGCGGGACGTTTCCCGCCGGTACTGGCACTTGTTGGCCTGCCAGTTGTGGCAGGAAGGCTGCGAGGAAGAGGAGGAGGGGAGGACGCAGCGTGAGGAAGAAGAGGAAGGCAGCAGAGGCATCCTGGAACAGCATGGTAGGAGGGTCCCCGGGATTTTTTTTCTCCCTGGCGCTTGCTGTATTTCTCACTCGCGAATGGCCGCCGACTTCACACTTGCAGCCTTTAAATCCCAGAATTCTTACTGTGGTTTCTATGGAAGAGAGGACGCGGAAGTGTGCTGCTCTTTAATGCAGACTTCAACCCCATTTCTAAGCATATTCTGAACGTGGTATTACAGCTCAGGAGGACGTAGAATTAATTCCGTGTTGCATTGATATTTTAAAGCTTGGGGATTCAGTCGGATATATCTTCCTTCCTCTAAGAAATGCCCAAATAAATTGATTAAAGAATAAAGAAAAATGCTCCATGAAAGCCCACAAGGTTTTACTAACATCATATAATTTATAGGTTTAATAAATGATTTTTATTCTGATTTATCTAGGTATTTTGGAATATGTTTCATATTGCTCTGAGACAATTGTAGAAGTAAAATGTCAAATTTTACAATCAAGTAGCAAGTCCATTGCCCCTTTACAGTATTGCTCTCTGTACAGCAAAACCAATTTTACATGTGCAGCAGAATGACAAAGTAAAATTCTATGATGACCAGGCAGAACAGACACCATGGGCCATGAAACAAAAATCCTCAAGAGCTTTCTGGAAAATGGATTGGATTCTTTAGTCTCCTAATAGTGAGCTAATCCTATAGAAAACAGCTCTCAAACAAAGGCATGACAATGAACAAGACATCAGGGGAGAAAGACTAATCCAATTCCAATTTCATCTGAATTACAGTAATGGAAACTTTCCATCTGTGGCCTCTTATTTTTAGCAAAATTTATCCATCCAAGACTTAACTGCCTCCTTCCTTCTAGAACAGTGTTTTTCAGCTTGGCAACTTTAACAGGCCTGGACTTCAAGATGCTGGCCTTGCTGGGAATTCTGGGAGTTGAAGTCACTGTCTCATAAAGGTGCCAAGGTTGAGAAATACTTTTCTAGATAGAACACAGAGATGTTCTCTGCCCATGTGTGGTCTACTTTTACAATTTTTTCATTGTGGGTGAAAGAGCAGAAAAGGATCATAGGGAACAAACAGGCTTGGTTTTCTTGTTGGGTTTCTTATATCTTTGCATCTGTGTGCTGAAATCCCTGTGTCCTTTCAATTGGCTATCCCAGACTGGCTGGTTTAGTTCAGTGTTAAAAATAATAGTAACCCCTGAAAAGTGGAATTACACTTGTAGGAGAAGAATAGTAGACAAAGCTGCTATTGCACTTGCAGCAGAAATGAAAAGAGAAAGAAGAGTTGCCATGCAGTGTTGGTTACTTTGGGCAAGTGAATAGTTGTTCATCAGACGCAATGAAAATATAATAGGTAACAGCAAGATTTGGAAAACAGACTGAGGATGGGAAACAAGTAGAAGTTCTTCAAGTCAATTGCCTAGGAGCAATTCAAATTTTTCTTTTCCCGATCTGGTTCTCTTACATTTTAGATTGGAAGTTACCCATGGTAACTGAATTAGTCTCTACCTGGTACTGTGGCTTTGGCAGGTGCTGCCCAACAGGAGACTGCAGAGTGGTCAACAATATCACAGGTATAGAGTTTACTTTCTTCTTATTTTAATTCCTCCCCTCCTCCATATTAAAAATATTGTATTACTAAAGGTCAGCATTTATGCTTCTGAAATTTAGGAGTGTGATCTGAGAGTGCTACACAGCTTTATTTGGCTCAAAGGCCGATCAGCTCTGCCTTAGGCACTGTGGATTTTGTTTTATTAAAAAATAAGTTATAGTACTCAATACTCTTTTCCCAACTGCATCTCTTTTAGTATAATACTATATCTTTCTGGAGGATGACAAAGCTATAAAAACAAATTCTTTCCCTTGTAGTTCCAACAAACTAAAGTTGCACTGTTCCTTTTTTATTTGACATAGAGACCAATTCTTTCAGTTATAAACTAATGATTAAAGCACTGAGATTAAATACATATTTGTTCAAATTAATTGGGAAGAAATGGTGAACTGAAGATGACTCCCCTAAAAGCAAGTAGATTGGCTCTTCATAATTCCTCTCCAGACAAGGAGAGGACATGAGATCACCCACAAGTGCTCCATACAGTTGCTTCTCCAGTCTTTGGTGGGTTTTGTGCTCTGGAAGATGAGGAAATAGCCATTTTGCTCAAACCACAATTGTCGCCTTTAATAGAAACTGGGTTTGCATATTCTCTGATCACTTTCAAAAAAAATTTTTTTTTTGTTTTCAGTGTGGATTAATTCTGCAGGTTGTGTCATGTTTTCCAAGTTACTTGCTGAAGCAAAGGATCAGAGATAAGAGATAAGAATTTACATAGTGAATACTTACTATCAAATACAGTTATCAGAAATCTTTCTTTTGTGAAGGACCATTAGAGATTTCTCACCACATTAAGCATATGTTCTTGCACAGCTACAAGAACTACAAATTTCCATAAAGAAAGAACAGTCATGTGTTTTGACAAGTGGATTTTGGAGTCAATGCTACAACTTGTGGTTTCGCTGTGCTTTTATACAATCCTTATGCTTGACAATTCTACAGTTTCCAAGTGATATGCAAGAGATTCATCCTCTTTTTCTTTCCCATAGGCTTGGAACTGGTTCTGAGCAAACGGCTCCATGGCCAACATTTGGCAAAAGAAATTGTCCTGAAAGCTGTTCAGGGTTTCCTGGAAACACCACAGCCAAAGAAAGCGTTAACTCTTTCTTTTCACGGCTGGTCTGGAACTGGCAAGAACTTTGTAGCTCGTTTAATGGCAGAACATCTTTATCGAGATGGCCTAAAAAGTGACTGTGTTAAAATTTTCATCTCAGGACTTCATTTCCCTCATCCCAATTACCTGGACCTTTACAAGGTGAGAGGATATTTGTATATGGGGGGGGGAGGGGAAGGTGTTAAGTATAGTGCAGTTTTAGGAAGGGGCTGTTACTTAGGAGTCAAGTATGCAGAAGATCTGTGAATCAATTCTTTTATCTTGAGAAATGTACAAATAAGAAACTTCAGAATTCCTGAATGTTTAGGGAACACAACATCAGTGAAATTTGAACATGTTACACCACATACCCGTACTAGTTGCCTAGATTGTCATTCCCATTGGTTTTAAAAAGCCCAGGATTGACTAATTAACTTGAAAGTTGGCTATGTTCATACAAATCTTCCTATGTCCAAAGATCTGCTTGAGTTAATCCTGCTGAGTTGTCTCTCTCTAGCAAAGGGCATATTGGCAGTGGCTTGTCCTTAGAGATCCAAACAAAATAGTGTAGCTTGACAAGACTAGATCAAAGCACATGGGATATTTACTTTGGCCCAGGATACAAAATAGTAAGGACAATATCATTGATCTAAGGGATGGTCAAAGGCAGGTCCAAGTTTAAAAGTTTGGTTGAGCAATCTGAATCATGGGCCCCTATTAATAGAACAACCAGAGTTAGGTGGCATAAAAATTTAATATATTATGATTGGCTGCGCAGTCGGCCAGATCTTTAGATTGGAGTTGGCATTTTTGTCTACTTCTTGAGTTCTGACCAAGGATCTGGGATAGACAGATGGTGTTTAATAATATTAATAATATTCCTGCTCTTAGCCATTGCCAAGTCTTGCTGTTAACTGCTTAGCCTGCTAGTTTTTTGTTTACTGGTTTTGTAATCCTTTGCCTTGCCATGTTTCTTTTCTGTTCTTCAGTTAGTCTTTCTTGAGGGCCAGTTTTGTTTCTCCAATATTTAGTAAGCCTTTATGGCAGTGGTTCTCAACCTTTTTAATGCCGCGACCCCAACCGGTCGTAAGTCGAGGACTAAACCGGTCGTAAATCGAGGACTAAACTGGTCATAAGTCAAGGACTAAACCAGTCGTAAGTCGAGGACTACCCAGCCGGTCGTAAGTCGAGGACTTTCCCTGCCCGGGAGCGCTGCACATGCGTGGTTCCGCCCCCTGTGCCGGCCGAGGCGTAGCTGGCAAGCGGCAGAGATGGAGCAGGCCGACCACCAGCTGGCCCAGCCCAAGGGAGGTAAGGCACCCGCCAGAAAAGGGGAAAAAAATGGCGGACAAAAAAAATGGTGGACAGCCTTGCTTGGCGACCCCCATGAAATGGTCGATCGACCCCAAATGGGGTCCCGACCCACAGGTTGAGAACCACTGCTTTATGGCATACTATGAATTATTGTGAATGATTATGACTTTATGATAGAGGTCCCCACCCTCGGCCGTGGCCCACCTCTAGGCCTTGAGCTGTTTGGAACCAGACTGCGGAGGTGGTGGGTGAGCGCATGTGTGCATGCATGTATGCTCCATTTGTGCAAGTGGTGGGCACAAATGGAACTATGCATGTGCCTATCATTTGCTCGGAACCATCCCCTCTCCCACCCCCACCCCGCCAGTACATAAAGCTGAAAATGTTGGGAACTCTGCTTTATGGCATCTTCTTCACTCTCCTCAAATATTCTTCCAATGCTTATCCAAGTAGCTAAGCATTTCAAACTAAAAAAAGAAAAGTCCAGTTGCCATGACTCAGCTTCCCGACAACTCTACCTAAATGACTGAAAATCTTCATCGACAATTTGAAAGTTGTAAGTAAGCCGGTAACTGGCTTGTAGTTGCCAGATGTTGCCCCTTTTGTTGGATCTTTCATTATCAGGTAGATTTTGCCAGAAGTTAGCCAATCTTCAATTTCACCTGCTGGTAGTATATTGTTAAACTGCTTGGCAATGAGTAAGTACAGACCAATCACGTTTCAACCAAAAGCAGTTACTCTTTTCTCTATTTCTGCTGTTATTACAAATTAGAATAGGAATAGGAATAGGAAATAGAATAGAATAGAATAGTTTCTTTCAACATGTAAAAAACAAGAAAAAAGTGAAGGAAATTGTTGGTCCATTAGTGGGGGAAAGTGGCAAGAAGGTGACAAGCAACAGGGAGAAAGCAGAACTATTTAACTCGTTTTTTGCATCTGTCTTTACACAAAGGGAAAAAACAGACCAACCTACCAAAAATAGTGCCATAAAAAACAGAATAGAAACGCAAGTTAAGATAGGCAAGAAAATGGTAAGTGAGCACCTGTCCAGCCTAGACGAGTTCAAATCACCAGGACCAGATGGATTACACCCCAGGGTTCTCAAGGAACTGGCAGATGTGATCTCAGAACCACTGAACTATATCTTTCAAAGATCCTGGAGCACTGGGGAACTACTGGAGGACTGGAAAAGAGCTGATGTAGTTCCCATCTTCAAAAAAGGGAAAAAAATTAACCCAGGAAATTACAGACCTATCAGCCTGACCTTAATACCTGGGAAGATTCTCGAAAAGATAATCAAACAACGAATCAGCGAACACCTAGAGGCAAACAAAGTCATTACTAAAAGCTAACATGGGTTTGTCAAAAACAGATCATACCAGACAAATCTTATTGCATTCTTTGACCAAGTGACAAAATTAGTGGATCAGAGGAATGCTGTGGATATAATTTACTTGGACTTCAGTAAGGCATTTGATAAAGTAGATCACAACCTACTACTTGATAAGATAGAAAAATGTGGGTTAGACAGCATCACCACCAGATGGATCCGTAGCTGGCTGACCAGCCGTACTCAGGGTGTGGTACTCAATGGAACTGCATCTACATGGAGGGAAGTGTGTAGTGGGGTGCCCCCGGGCTCTGTTCTGGGCCCAGTGCTCTTCAACATCTTCATCAATGATTTGGACGAGGGGATAGATGGGGAACTCATCAAATTTGCAGATGACACAAAGCTGGCAGGAATAGCCAACACTCCAGAAGACAAGCTTAGGATTCAGGAGGATCTGGACAGACTTGAACACTGGGCACTATCTAACAAAATGAAATTCAATGGTGAAAAAAGTAAGGTTCTATATTCAGGCAAGAAAAAACAAATGTACAGGTATAGTATAGGGGGTACCTTGCTCAATAGTAGTAACTGTGAGAGGGACCTCGTAGTCCTAGTGGACAATCACTTAAATATGAGCCAACAGTGTGTGCAGCTGCCAAAAAGGCTAACACATTGCTGGGCTGCATTAACAGAGGGATAGAATCAAGATCACGTGAAGTGTTAATACCACTTTACAATGCCTTGGTAAGGTCACACTTGGAATACTGCATCCAGTTTTGGTCACCACAATGTAAAAAAGATGTTGAGACTCTAGAAAGAGTACAGAGAAGAGCAACAAAGATGATTAGGGGACTGGAGGCTAAAGCATATAAGGAAAGGCTGCTGGAATTGGGTATGTCTAGTTTAATGAAGAGAAGGACGAGGGGGGACATGATAGCAGTGTTCCAATATCTCAGGGGCTGCCACAAAGAAGAGGGAGTCAAGC